TCTCTCTCTCTCTCTCTCTACTGTTCTCTCTCTCTCTCTCTCTACTGTTCTCTCTCTCTCTCTCTCTCTCTCTGTTCTCTCTCTCTCTCTCTCTATGTTCTCTCTCTCTCTCTCTCTCTTATGTTCTCTCTCCTCTCTCTCTCTCTTATGTTCTCTCTCCTCTCTCTCTCTTATGTTTCTCTCTCCTCTCTCTCTCTCTCATGTTTCTCTCTCCTCTCTCTCTCTCACTGTGTCTGTAAAATTCATTCATTCTCTCTCCAAGTGCCTAAAATCATTGCACTTTCTCTTCTCTCTCTGTAAAATCAGCGCTCTCTCTCTCGCTCGCTCGCTGAGTGTGTAAAATGATCTCTCTCTCACTGTGTGAAAAATCCATGCATTGTATCTCTCACACGCACACACACACAAACTGAATGTGTAAAATCCATATACTGTATGACATTGTTATATTCTCCCCTACTCAGAACGATGGAGTAGAAGATTTCAGATTTCTCAGGTATTTATCTCAGCATTTTTCTTCTCAAAATTAAAGCCATTTACCAGGGAAAAATAATCACAGTTTATTCTTTATTTTACTCCAATTTTTTTTCTCGGTTTTAAATGAAGTTTCAGATCTTACTTGTCTGCATTAGACGGCCACTTCCTACTTGTTTATTTGGTGATCAGTTGCATGACTGAAATTCACAGTAAATGGAAAAGTTTGGCTATAGGAGTCTTGTCCATGGTAACTGATTTTTTTTATTTAAAAAGGAGTATTTTCTCCCTGTACAATCTTTTATTTTCTTGTTGAATACAATTTCCTTGTGGAGTTTTGTTTTCACTTGGATTCTCAGATTTTAATTTTTTCTTTTCCTTTCGCATTCGAGTTAATTTCTCTTTCACTGCCTGTGTGTGGGCGCACGCAAGTGCGTCTTTGGTACACAAGTGCACAGATCACAGCTGGCAATTGCCCAATATCCTGTATTTTCAAACTATGAAGCATTATAATTTCCACAATTCAATTATATTATCGATTTTACTTTTTATTGGGTTTGTATCAGTGCAGCTGTTGTGGACTAAATGGTCGCAGAGTGATTAATTTCACCTCCCAAAAAATGGGGCAATATTCGTTTTTTAAGGCGTCAAGGAACATCTGCCTTTCTTTATCTCTCTCCTCCTTTCTTTTTTCTGCTGGGGGCTTGTGGTACCAATAGAAGTTCATTTTTTGTATATTCAATTCTTGTTTCCGAGAAAAAAGATGGGCAAGAGGATTGATACCATAAGGCATTCTATATGCCAGAGGTGTTTATTAATGTCTGTTTTGTTATACTTTGATGGGACTGTGGTTTTATTACTATGTAATGGATGAGTACCTGGTTGTGTTTTTCATTTTATTTTAGGGAAAATAAATTATGGTTTGAATTTTGCATAGCTGACGAGATTGAAATGGTTGTCTTAGAGTTGCATGCAGATGAGATTGTAAATTGGAATGTGGTTTTTGTTCATGTTTCAATATTTGAACTATGTATTGAGCCTGTCTTTACTGTTCTTAAATAGAAATTGGGATTATATTATTGCTTGGCAGGTGAGATTGGAAAGCCGGTTTATCTGCGATTAACTAGAGAAGAGTTTTGAATTGCGGGTTTTCACTACAATCCAATACAATTAACGTTCCCATCTGCTGTTGACATTTGGATTGTTATTTTTTGAATTTGAGTCAATGCAATTAGGGCTGGGTTTCTAAGTGGAAAGAGAATGTCAGGGGCCTCTTTAGATGTTAGCGAGCTTCATCTGAAGAAGGAACTCACTGCACTTAGAAGGTCTCAATTTCTTCGAGATCCTGAGACCAGCTTGTTATGGCGGTCTCCAATGAGTACCAGATCCCTAGGCACTTTTAGCTTGAAAAGGAACCCTGAAAAGCACAATTTAAGAGGTAAAAGATTGAACGGGTCCTTTGATTTTGAGGCAGTTTTACCCTCAACTGGTCTAAGGGGTGGTGATAATGTGTTTCTCCACAATTGGAGTAACCGATCTCCTATTACCCCAGTCAGATCAAGGAGGGTTTCATCCATCAGTGGTGAGGTGAACCAGGAGAAAGAAATTAAGGAAGGTGAGGACCCTGCAATCAATATCCCAAAAGAACAATCTCAGTTGGCTTCAAGAGTTCGACAAAAAAGGGTAGAGAGTCCTTTCATGGGAAGAGAAACCAGGAAACTGAGAATGAACAAAAAGGGATTATCACAAGCGACAAGTTCTGGAAATTCAAAGCGTATTGATGTTCCATGCAGCCCATTGAAATCTCACAATGACATAGGGCTTTTTGATGATACCGATCAGTATAATTCTGAGGAACACTTGGCAACTTCAACGTACAAAAGCAGGAAGAAAACAGGCTATAGCTCAGTTTCTGAATCTCCTTTGCTCTCTGGATACACAACAGGTTCAACAGAGCGTTGTCACAGCGAGATGAAAACTTGGTCAAAATCTTTAAAGGGGTATAGATTAAGGGAGGATTCTGAGACCCCAATGTCAACTTGTTCCCATAAAAGAAGTTGCTTTGGCAATATGAGCACGGCTGAGTCCTTGGATGGTGGGGATTCATTAGATGCCAATGAAATCGACGGCTTGGATTTGTCGACACGCCAGGGTTGTGGGATCACTCGCTACTGGCCCAAGAGAGGATGCCTGTCCCCTTCTTTTTCTGATAGTTTGAGGCGAAAGGGCAGTATCGTGTTTCGTAAAAGACGGCCTGCTCCTCGAAAATGTGTATCCTCAGATGCATGCCAGCATAATCAAACTCTCAAAATTTCCCCAGATTTACCCTTGTTAAAACAATGTGGTCACCATGTTGATCATTCATCAGGTGATACAATGAGCGATGAGCTCTCCACTAACTTCGGGGAGCTTGATTTGGAGGCTTGTAGTCGATTAGATGGAAGAAGGTGGTCTAGTTGCCGAAGCCCCGAACAATTAGAACTGGCATTAACACCAGGTTCTAGAAACTCATTACCTCACGATGGCGAGCCTAGAAGTTTGAGCCAAAAGTATAGACCAAGATCCTTCAATGAGATAGTTGGGCAAAATATAGTTGTTCAGTCATTAGCTAATGCCATTTTTAAGGGTAGAATAGCACCTGTTTATCTCTTTCAAGGTCCTCGAGGGACAGGGAAAACATCCACTGCAAGGGTCTTTGCAGCTGCTCTAAATTGTTCATCTGAGGAAGGAATCAAGCCTTGTGGCTTTTGTAAGGAATGCATGGTTTTTGCCTCAGGCAAGAGTATGGATATGAGAGAATTGGATGCTACTAATAAGAATGGCATAAATAGAATAAAGTACGTGCTGAAGCACTCTGCTATTCCTCCCCCATCATCGCGATTTAGAGTATTTATAATCAATGAATGCCACATGTTATCTTCCAAAACATGGACTAGTTTTCTAAAAAGCTTGGAGGAACCACCACCACACGTTGTGTTTGTGTTTGTGACTACGGACCCAGACAAGTTACCAAGAACAGTAGTCTCGCGGTGTCAGAAATACCTCTTCCCCAAGATCAAAGAAGTCGATATGGTGAACAGGTTGAAGAAGCTTGCAGAAGTTGAAAATCTGGTGGTTGAACCAGATGCACTGGATTTGATAGCCTTGAATTCAGATGGTTCTCTTCGAGATGCCGAAACATTGCTGGAGCAGTTGGCTTTGCTGGGAAAGCCAATAACCATGGCCCTTGTCAATGACCTTGTGAGTCCCAATACTGTGTCTTCAATTACATTTAACGATAAACAAATACTAATTATCATCTTATTTACTGGAATGATATTGCTCATAATTATGCTTGAAGCTGTTGCTTATATTTTCTTAAAAACCAACAGAAAATAAAATTCTTTTGGTAATGAAGTGTTATGTGGAATCAATTTTATTATTTAATGCTGGATTGAGCTGCCTGTTTATTTCTGTATGAATATATCATTTTGGGAGAATGTATAGACAACTGAAACTTTCACATAAAAAATCTAATTGGACTTTTCCCGCTACATATTGATATGATATTATATATTGTCGTGGTATTTCTATTTGTATATCTTGGTTCCCTCTATTTATGTATTGAGGCTTTAAACTATCAGCTTGTAATATGTGACAGAGTACAAAATCCCCAACGTCATGTTTGATCACCCCATAGTTGGTTACCCAAGAAAAAATTATAGGAAAAAACATTTAGGATTACGTATTGTACTTCTATGCTCATTTGTGCAAGATTTCTTTGGGTACATTTGTTTCAAAGTAGCCACTCTAAATGCAGATTTTGCTCTTGATCTCTTATGATGGATTAATCATCATAGTTGTTACCAAGTTTTCACTAATAAAGACTATGTGCATGGGAAGTTAAAAATTTTATTTTGGCCTATTGTATTAGTGTGCTTCTTAATGTGGTAGCAATGATCACAACTAGTACTTTTTCCCTTCTTGGAAATGAGTGCAAAGTACATGTTGTTTTGGGAGCTCTTGATTGGTACTTTGCCTCTCATATTTCCATGGAATTATATTTCATATACTAATTCTACTGGAAACTCTGCCATGGCTGGTCCTATATCGGTTGTATGCCGGTCTCAAGCCCAGAGAAATGTGTTAGGTGGGCACCCAAAGTAAAACTCTTCAGAATCTTTCATGAATCCTGAATTAATGTTATATACTAATACTACGGCTTTCCCTATACGTGACATGTCGTACCAGCACCTGGGTGCAGTGAGAAATGAGCAAGGGTTAGCTAGGGTGTCCCTCGGAAGTGACACAAATGTAGACAAGGGTTCTCGTGCCATTTCAGACAATCATGGATAAAGAAGCCAATCTAAGTGAATCAGATTCATTTAGCCACATGGAATGCATGATTTCTAACAAGTAAAATCATATCGTTAGTGGACACAATGAGGCAAAGGAGAGTTAACATAGCATGCCTCCAGGAAACTGAATGGAAAAGGGCAAAAACTAAGGAAAACGATGGATATAAACTTTGGTATATAGGAAAAAATAATAATTGAAATGACGTAGGTACAATAATAGGCAAAAATTCAAAGGATAAAGTAGTTGATGTTAAAAGATTAGGTGATAGGCTTATATTGATTAAGTTGTGTTAGGGGAGGATATAGTTAATGTACTTAGTGCTTATGCGCCACAGGTAGGACTAGAGGATAGCATTAAAAGACAATTATGGGATTACATGGATGGACTAGTCCAAGGGATACCAAATGGAGAGAAGACTTTTTTAGCAAGGGACTTAAATAGTCATGTAGGAAAAGATAATACAGGACATGAAAGGATACATGGAGGATATGGATTTGGGGAGAGAAATGAGATGGGTGATACTATTATCAATTTTGCTATGGCTTACAACCTAGCAGTAGCAAACTCCTACTTTAAAAAGCGAGATGAATAATTAATAGCGTTTAAAAGTAGATGATATAAAAGCTAGATAGACTTCTTTCTGGTTAAGAAGGCATATCTTCCATCACGTAAAGACTGTAATGTTATATCAGGAAGAGTTTGACCATGAAATATAACTCATATGATGTATGTCTACATAAAGAGATGGAAGAGAATGAGTGAAATTAATAAATGCCCAAGAACTAGATGGTAGAATTTTAAAAGGGAGAAAATATGCTTATTTAGGAATAAATAGGTAAAAGAAGGAAAATTGAATTTTGAGCATGGGGTTAATATTAAGTGGAATGAGATGGCTGATTGTATTGAGGAAGTGGCAAACGAAGCTTTAAGAGAATCTAGAGGGAAAAGAAATTTCGATAAGAAAACTTGGTGGTGGATTGATGTTTAAAAGGCTACTAACAAAAAACAATCGTATTATAAAGCTTAGTAACGTAATATAAATGAGTAAAACTTAAAAGAATATAAAAATGCTAACAAAAATACTTAAAAAATAGTAAGTAAAGCTAAACTTAAGGAATATGATGATTCATACAATAAACTGGGGACAAGAGAAGGTGAAAAATTCAAACTAGTAAACATGAGAAAGAGGAAGTGTAGGGATCTGTTTAATGTTAAGTGCATTTAGAGTTAGGATCAGGGGGTGATGGTGAAGGGTGACGTGGTCAATTAAAGGTGACGAATTTATTTTAAAAAATTATTAAATGATGAATGCTTTGGGAGCACATGCTTAAGAGAAACCTTCGACATAAATGAGGTCGGAGATCATAGATACATTTGCAGGATTAAGATATCCAAAGTGGAAAACAAGCTTTGAGAAAAGATGAAGATCGAAAAGGCCTTAGGACTAGATGCTATCCCGATACAGGTTTGGAAGTGCATGGAGAGATTGGCATATTTTGGCTGACCAAACTGTCCAACAAGATATTGAAAAAGGAAAATACTTGATAAATGGAGAAAAAGTTCTATGATACCTATTTACAAGTACAATTGAGACTTATTGAGGGATCAAAATTATGATCAACACTATGAAGCTATCGGAGAAAGTGATTGAGTAATGACTAAGACATGAAACGAGTGTATCAGAAAATCAGTTTGGTTTTATGCTAGAGAGGTCAACAATTGGAGCTATTTTCCTACTTAGGCAATTGTCTTTATTGAGTTAGAGAAAGCATACAACAAGGTACCTAGATGGTTAATTTGGTGGGATGTTGGAAAAGAAAGGAGTCTCTCGATAATATATTGACATGGTGAGAGATATGTACAAGGGAGCGAGTGTGTGGACAATTAGTGGAGATGCAAGTGAGTTTTCTGTGATAGTAGGCCTACATCAGGGGTTAGTGTTGAGCCCATATCTCTTTGTTTTGGTTATGGATGAGGTAACTAGGCATCTACAAGATTAAATACTGTGGTGTATGTTGTTTGCAGATGATATAGTTTTTGATTTGATGATAATAAAGACAGTGTCAATGCAAAGTTGGAACGTTGGTAGGATGCTCTGGAGAATAAATGTTTTATAATTAGCCGGATTAAAATAAAATATATGGAATGCGAGTTTAGTAATAATAAGAGTAAAAATGAGGTAGTAGTTAATATTTTGTGGCCAAGAAGTACCTAAAAGAGATTATTTTTGATATCTAAGAATGATAATCCATGAGAATAGAGAGATTGAAGAAGATGTCACACATAGAATTGGAGCTGAGTGGGTGAAGTGTTGGAGATGTGCTTCTGGAATGTAATCGCCCATATAAATGAAACTAAAGGGGCAGTTTTATAGGACAGCTGTAAGACCAGCCATACTTTATGAAACATAATGTTGGGCAATAAAAAAACAACATATCCATAAAACGAGTGTAGTTGAGATGTATACAGTCAAAGATATTCATGAACAATCTTATTTACTGAATCAAAAAGGAAAGGAAAAGGCATTTTTAGAAAAACAGTTACAGAGCCTCGAAAAAGATCTTTGGATGAAGTCTCAATACCCTCAACCACAATATCCTTCCCAATTTCAGCCTCTACTTACCAATCCATACACTCGTAACTATCCTGCTTTAAGGAGCCCTGACCCATTTCCACTCACTCGAACACTCTACCCACCTACAAGTTTAATTCCTTCAAGAAATTTTGGTTTTCGAGCTTTAAGTGCATTTGAAAATGAAAGACGTTTCCCTGAAGAAATGTTCGTTCCTCAATTAAGGAAAAAACCAAATACTTCAACACCTAGTTCATCACAAACCTCGAAACCTAAACCTTCTGTTACTTCACCATCTGTAACAGTACACCCTCATCCTAGTCCTCAAATACCTAAAAATGAAACCCAAATGATTCAGTATTTTGATACTGAGTCAGATGTTGTAGCCTCCTCAGTCCCAACCCAGATATTAACTTCCTCTGAGCCCTTGAACAACATGAGCTCATTCCTGAAAATCCTGACCAAACAGCCTGAAGTAAACCTTCAAACTGAAACACAATCCTTTGAAGAATTGTTCGATACCTCGGAAACGTTTGAAAGAAAATCTTCTCCTTCTTCTTCAGATTCTGACAATTTGCTTATGATGAACCCTCCTGAACCCCTCAAGAACCAGACCCTTTTATGGAAGAAGAATTTAGACCTCCGGACCATCAAGAACCTCAAGAACCCCAACCAACCCCAACCTATGGAGATTCATCTAAAGGATTTACTATTAATGATATTCCACCTTCAAGATGGAATGACAGATTCAGAGAAATTCAAGGATGGATGCATTCAGAAATGCTTAATCTTGCAAATACCTTAGCCAGTACCATTTCTAAAGTCATTGTGAGGCTAAGAGGACGCCTATTTGATTGGTACATAAGTCTTGGAAAATACCGGCAAACACAGTTAAGAAATAGTTAGTCCATTGTTGAGTTTCTTAATTATTTGGTATCTGAATTCTCAGGACCTATTAAACATGAACAAATTGCTGCCCGAGAAGAATTTTTTCAACTCAAATGTTGTTCATTCAAGAGACAAGATCTTGAAAAACATTTTTCAGAAATGAACAAAAGATACCATAAAATAGGAGGAATTGATGATATAAATTTGAAACAATTTTATCTTGAATCTATACCTCCTACTCTTGGTAAGGAAGCAACAAAGACAATGGAAAATCAAGGACTTATTATTCAAAACACCAGTTTTGGTGAATTATGTCAGTTTGTTCTCCATGCTCTTGAAAGACTTTGCAATCAAGTTGAATTTGTGAAACAAATGGAAAAGAATAAGCATTTACTTGGAAAATCTTGTGATAAACCATATCTCAAGATTAAATGTGATGCAAAAAAACAGTGTTCATGTCCACCTGCCTCGAAAGGAAAAAAGAAGTTTGACCAAAAGACAAAAAAGAAGAGATTCAAAAGATTCAAATATTTTCGATGATCAAGATTTCGAAGACACAAAAAAGGAGATAGATGTTATGTCTGTGGAAAGAAAGGACATTTTGCAAAAGAATGCCCAAACCAGAAAAAGAAAAAAAAGATAATACATCTTTTGTCACAAGTTTTAGAAGACGAAATCGATGATGATTTAGAATCTGTGTTTTCTCTTGATGACATTGATATCCATTTCTTATGCTGATGATTTTGAGCTCAATGATAAGCAACACCAGTGTTCCAGAGATATTGTCTCCACAAGATGAAATTTCAGACATAAACAGTTTACCCTTGCAACCTACCCCAATAGCCCTTGTTCAGATACTCCAAGAACATTATTCCAAGCATTTGACCCTTCCTGCCTTCTTTGATACAGAAGCATCAGCTAGTATTTTGAAACCTGATTTACTACCAAAACAGTTTTGGGAAACATGCAATCAAACTTTTCGAGCTACTAATGGAGAGAAATTTTTCATAACCCAAATTAGCAGGCCCATTTTGATTAAACTGTTTCCCAAAGTAGTTATCCAACATAAACTCTTAGGATACTATTTGCCAAACAGAGACCTTTTACTTGGATTTGATGTATTGCATCAAGTAAAACTTCAATAGACCTCCAAAGGATTACATTATAGGAACCTAACCTTGCCCTGGATAGCCAGTATAGATCCTCCCTACACCCTAGATATAGTCAAACCAAAAATAATAATAGACTGTTGTGCCAAGCTAAGCTAGAGATACAAAATTTGATAAAGGAGCAGTTAATTGAGTCTACCAGTTCCCCTTGGGCTTGTGAAGCCTTTTATGTAAATAAGAGAGCTAAACAAATCCGAGGAAAACTCAGACTAGTTATCAATTACCAACCATTGAATACCTTCCTTGCAGATGATAAATTCCCTTTGCCTAACCAAATTGAACTTTCTAATGCTCACATATTTTCTAAGTTTGATTTAAAATCAGGATTTTGGCAAATTGGAATTCACCCAAAGATCGTCCT